GAGGAATTTCATCATCTTTACAAACAAATCATCTAGAAAAATTGTGCTCTGGGTGATGTAAAGTGTACCAGTAAGAGTATGGCGCAAATCCTCCACTGAAGCTTTCTATGCGCTGGAATAGAACTCAGATAAGCCTCTCGCTGATAAGCTGTCGAATAAGATTCTGGTTCAACTGGAAGTTCGTCTCGAGCACCATCGATCGCTCGGCCAGGGTGAGCTGGAAGAAAACGGTGAGAACATAGACGCTTTAGACGCAGTTCGGCTTGGTGGGGGCAAGAAATGGTACTCAGTGCTCAGTGAAGCTCGTATACGCCACCTCGTAAACACCTATGAATTCTTTGGAGCAAAGTGGCTCCCTCGTTTCGGACGCTCCACATTTACTGACCCTAGCGAAATGAGACTGAGCTAACGTGAACTAGCGAAAGTGTGATATGCCCCTCCCAAACCAAACAGCACAAATTTAAAAAAGGCACTAAGAACGCGCTTCACGCGCAGCTTTTCATACGCGTACAAGCAGCTGCATCCCATTACTAGGCGCAGAACAATAACCCTATCTCAGATGAGGAAGTGAGCAGCGAGACAGTCAAATTCTAGCTGCTTCTGAACGGTCGCTTTTTACTGAATGCTTCTGAAGATATTGTGTGCTCTACTTAGCCGGGCATAGGGACATGTAAAAGAGCAAAACACTGTAGTGGACGCATAAGGGACCAAGAACCGTGTGCTAGTGACACGCCCCGACTGACTTCAGCGATACTGACTATACGCCGCTCGTGTTCCGGATAGAAGCGACCCACTCACCCATTTCCCATTTGAATACAAGTTTATGGTAGAGTACTGCCGCGCCAAATCTGAAACAATCGGCGCGTTCTGTGATGCTTTTTCTACATGCTCAGAGTATTTTCATCGCAGTATTTAGTCCCATGCTCTTAGAAGCCTTCTTAACCCGAACCATTGATTACCTTTGGCTTTGATAGTCTGAACAGCGGATGAACTGGTATTGGAATGCCTTGTTTGAGTATGTCGTTCACCATACGCTGCAAAATCTCACGTGACAAGAAGCTGGCATCGTCCAGTTCATCTTGGACAAGCGTTTGGGGTGAACGGGTGACCTGAAAAATTCCTTGTAACTCGTGTAAAGCCTACAACCGATTTTCAGTCGTCCTTAGTCAGCCTGGTAGACTCCTGGAGGTTCTACGCCACAGCTCACACCAGGAAGAGCTTGTGGGAACCAGGCCTCAGCCGAACTTCAAGAATTTTAACGCAGCCTGACGTATGATCAGGCTTTCCAATAAGCAACATCATAGATAGGTAAAGGCCCATTCCATGGTGTGGGTGGAGATGGAGAACCTCCTTTGTGGTACCTCGTTCACTTGCTCTTTTTATTTCTGCCTAGAACGAATGCTCCATTGAAGGAAATCAAGAGGTTGTCTCCACCCACAAGCTCGAAATAGACTGTGCCTTCGAGAAAGAGCGAAAACGGGTAGTTAGTGGCAAAATTTTGTAATTTCTGTTCCAAATTAGACTTCGCAGAAGTGCGCTCAGCCGTTTCGCGGATAGTAGCCTCGTTTCTTGAGCAGAGACAGTCGAGGGCTAACTATCCTTTAGTCAATATATGGGCCGAATAAGCACTCAGTCGCCACCGTTAGTACCCAGGTTACTGCATCGTCATGTGTGAAATGGTGGGGTAGCTACGACCCTCCCCCTCCTTATCGAGGGGGTTCTGTAGACCCTCCCACCGAAGGAGGGTCTTTTTACGATGCCCCTCCCCAACACCCACCCAAGAATTTTCCGACGAGCGTGAGGGAGTAAATAGCCACCCTAAACGGAAAAATTTCTTGGATTTTCCTCAACTTCCCAACTTCTTACCACTTTTCCTAAATTTCCCTACTTTCACGAGTCCAGGTATATAGTACACATGAAACAGGAAAAATTATACGAAAAGTCAACAACCGGGGAAAAATTTTTTCACAGCGCGACAAATTTCTTTCAAAGCCACATACGACCTCCCTCTCCCAACAACGACCAAATACGCCCCTCCCCTCTCCCCAGCCGAAAAGTACGACCTCTAAAGTGTTTCACACAACGATGCTGTATCCCGTTAGTACCATTACGAATCACGGATGTGTGCTTTACAACAAATATGTTAGACAGTAAGACGCATTTCATCTTTTACAATTTTTCGGTATAGGTAACTATTTCGCTCGAAAAAGTTCTTCAAATTGTTGAAATGTTTGCTGAAAAGTATGCTGACGTTTTTGAAAGATATAGGTCAGAAAGTGTCATAGCCCCAGCTGTAGACGACTCAAGCCGCGATGTGGTGTCCAGGAGATCTGCGCTGCGGCGACGCGGCGTCGCGGGCGGAGCAACGCGTTCAGCACTCGCAGCAGGCCAAACTGATTCAAAGCGGAGGTGCTACAGTATGGCGAGCTATGTAGCTAGAAACTACTGGCAAGATTCTGCACGTCGCTACAATGCGCATCTCCTGAACGACATTGATCTATGAAAAGTGAGGACATTTGTTCGAACTGATTCCTTTTTTTCCTGTTTCAAGAAAGCTAGTTTTACTCTTGCAAGCCGCCAGCGGGAATTGTAGCTAGGCTCGAGTAGCACTCATGCCAAACTGGTCGCCAAGACAGGGCATGCTGACAGCAGGGAAATTTTTGCAGAATATCATCCGTTCTCATAATTCTCTCCCTTGGTACAAATCCCTTTCCCGTTTCCCATCTCCCGTTCTGCCTACCACGTCCAGAATTTTTCCCACTTCCTATTATTTTCAAGAATTTTTTCCAGAAATTATCCCTGCACTTCTTCCCTAAGAACTATTCCCGAGCGAGGAGGAGGGGTACATGCACTGATTGAAGAGGAAGACCTAAGAAAAGTTCAGCAACGAGAAACATTTTACTAGGCGGAAAAAGTTTTCTCAAGGCAAGTGCTACCCCCTTGCTGGAAATCCCAACGCTTGACGTGCCACGAGCCCGTGTTTAATCCCATATTACACAAAGATCGCTCTCTGCCAAACGTGTAGTACTTACCAGTCTTATCGTCTCAAGGTTCACCTTCCCTCGGACGGCTTTTGCGTTCATTCTCATCCTCATCGTTGCAGTAATATGGATTTCCATAGATCCAATCGGGTGTGTCGCCGTTTGCACCTTCTAGAGCCACTTCGATCAAACCGAGCAACTGGAAGCGAATTCCGCCTGAACAGAGAAACTTCGAATAGATTCAAGTGAAAAATGATGGAGCGGAGTTCGGCTTGGTGGGGGCAAAAAGTGGTACTCAGCGGAGCTTGTACAGGTCAACTTGTGAAGAACCGTATGTTGTTGTGACCTGAGTGGCTCACTTCTACCATTTCGCAGCTTCACAAGACCTTATACAGGTGTCGTTATGGACAGAACTCTCTGTTAGTAGAATTAAAAAAGGAAATGGTGAAAGTTTAACATGCCCCTCCCGAGCCGAACCAGACAAAAGCGTTGAATCTATAAATGTGGGCAAAAAAGTGTGGAAATCAAACCTCGTTCAGGCTGGCGTACGACGATAGCTGGCGCTTTGATCGTAGAAAATGAAAATATGACTCCTCGGTTGGGAAACTGGAAATCGATATGGATACGACAGAGACTGTAGGCGCGTTAAATCAATACGAACCCTTTCACGAAGCGTGGGGAAGAGGTCACCAATACAGAACAGCGAGCTGGATCCCATGTCACAAGTCGTATGCATAAGTGGCCCCAATTGAGGTGTTCTGCTGTCGACGCGAGTGTTAAAAATACCGGTGCTGTAAAATATGTCTCGGAAATTCCGAACTAATCAATAAATCAATAAATAAGTGCATGCTCAACTTACAGGTGACCATGATACATCAGTGAGTTGGGCACATAGTCCGAGACGACAAGTTGTAGAAGATTGGTGGACACTGTGGTGGGAAGAGTCATTGGACGTGGGCCAAATGGGGTTCGTTGACCAGGCGCTGAGATTTCACCCGATGTGGACAATTCGATACCTCGTGCTGACA